ATAAAGCTCCTTTCCACTAAGACAATGAAACTTGGGGCTCTTCTCTAAGCAGCTGCATGATCTTACCTGGTCCTTAACCTCTGTTTCTTCACATGATGGTGGCGATGTTTGAGATGTTTCTCTCTGTTGACACAGTGCATGAAGCAGCAGTGCATTCTAGTGGGGAAAATGGTTGTTTTACATTTGAAAGAAAAATTCATAAACCAAGCTCAGAATGTGTAACCCATAAAAAAGCATGTGACATAGAAACCATCAGGCTCAAGAAAGGACTCCAGAAAAGCTGAGGGAAATGTTTTTACAGAATCTACTACCAACGGTCCTCCCTGGTGGCGCAACGGGTTAAAACACAGCATTATGAAGCCATTGCAGCCACTGCAGCACAAGTTTGATCCCCGGCCAGGGAGCTGACCCACATGGCGCAGCAGACCTCTCCTGTCCCACCCACTGCTCCCCTTAGCAGAGTATTTCAATAGATCCACCTGTCCTGCTCCCCACTCTGTCTCTGGTGAATCCTCTCCCCCACTGCCCCTCTATTCTACACCCCAGTTCTTACATGCATAGATAAATAAATCTTTAAAGAAAAAAGAGAATCTACTACCAGCAATCACACATACACACCGCTGCCAATTCCTTTTACAAAACTTTTATAGTCATAGCATGAAACATCTGAAAATTCCCTTCGACATTCAGCACAGAATTAGTGTTCAGAACAGGTGGGGCATGGGCTTTGGAATTCAACAGGCCTATGCTGGAATTTCAGACTCATCAAAGGATGTTCTTGGGGAAAGTGACCCCCTCCCTACTTCACTTTTCTCAATTGTAAAAGAGCTTTACTAAAACCTCTCTCTTAGGTTACTATGGGTGCTAAGAGATCATTTCTGGATGGTTGCCAGAACATTGGCAAGGGGCTTCTGGCTCAGTGTCCAGCACACAGCAGGATCTCACGCACTGTTCATCTTCTATGTCTTTAACAGCTCTCAGCCAAGTCAAAATCAAGGGGAGAATGTACCTGAGATTTAAGGCACCTCAGACACAGCAGCAGAGCAATGTGTTCAGCTGATGCAAAGATGAGTGTGTATGTGTTCAGAGGGTGACCAGCCCACAGGCCAACTGCCCAGGGCTTGTGCCAGCTCTCTCTGTCAGGCAGTGAAAGCTGTGAGTTAGGGAGGTGCGGACGCCATGGAGGGAGAGTGGGGAACTGAGATTTCCTTTGCACCTACTGAAGCAGGAGACTTGGGCCCAGTAGCAAGGGGGAGGAGGGACAGATGGGAGTTCCTCAGGGTCACCTGGATTTCCCAGGTGACAGACCTGGAGGCACCTGTGAGCCCCAGTGGGCTTGGGGCTTGGGTAAGTGGGGGATGGGTGGTGAACTCAGGAAGAGAAGCAGACTTGAGTGGGAAGCTGCTGAGTTCTCTTCTGAAACATGTTGATGTAGGTGCCTACAGACTCCCAGGCGCTGATGTCCACCAGGCCTTGGGATTTGTGTCCATGCAGGGTTCTGGAGAGAGAACAAGGGCCTGCGGTCACTGAGGAAAGTGAGGTGGCCGGGGCAGGGGCATGCCTTGCTGGGCAGAACAATCAGCCAGCAAGCAGCTTTCGCTTCTGAAGAAGATTCTACAGAGGACATCCTCTGGGACAGCCTCCCTCAGGAGTTTAGAGATCATCTGGTGTAAACGCCCTAGGGGCTGAGATGGCTGTAGGCTTTTCCAGGATCTCACAGCACATGCTGCCAAGACCAGATCTGGGTCTTCCAGGACACCTCTTCTCTACACTGGGGGTGCCCTAGGAGGCCCCTTCTCACATTGGGGAGTCCCCAGGGTACCCCTTCTCACATTGAGGGCCCCCAGGATATCCCTTCTCCACAACCGGGGGCTCCCAAGGCACCCCTTCTCTCCACCAGTCTCCATCTGTACCTCCTGGCCCAGGCTCTCCCACCTTGGCTGCAATGGGCTCGGCTGAGGAAGGCTTCAGGAACCGCCAATGTGGAAGGAGGACACGGGAGAGAGGCAGTGGTGACCCGACAGGAGACAGCAAGACCCGGGGCACGGAGCACAGGCTCCATCCACAGCCGGCAAGGACCACCCCTGACCAGGGGCATCGGCCACCTCCTGCTCAGCCTCTGCTGGAGAGGAGTCACCTCTCCACACCCTGTTCTCGGGGAAGGGCTCGGGCCGTGCTCTCTAGAGACTGTGCAGGCATTGTCTCGGCCGTGACCCTCAGCGCCAGCCATCAGACCTCACAGTACTGTGCCGTGAGAGCTGCGTGACCCTCAGCGCCAGCCATCAGACCTCACAGTACTGTGCCGTGAGAGCTGTAGATGCTGAGAAACCTTGTTTGGACAAACACACTGGCAGGGCTGGAAAGAGTGCTGCCGCTTCTACTCCAACCCATAAGCCGCGGCTCAGAAGTCCTCTCTCGCCGGGCAGCCTTCACAGGCTGGAATCTTGCCGAGGCTCTTCTAAGGCTGTGGAAGGCAAAGAACGGCATCCAGTCTTTTGTTTCCTCAATATCTGACCAACATTTTAAAGTGCCCCTCTGTTTTGCACCCCCAGAGCTTTCTCTACACTGGGTGACACACCAAGGTAAGAGGGGAAAAGGGATCGTGAGAATGAAGATGTGGGAGGAGACCTCAGCTGTCAGTTCTAGGCGTGAGTAACACCAAGCTGACACACTAGAAACCATTACCTGTGGCTATTTCTATACTCCTTGGAAAATTCTCCATACTTTTACGTCTGAGTCAGTTATGGGAGACACTGAAAACTTCATAAAGTTTAAGGAATTGCCAAAAAGTCAGTAACGATGATGATAAAGACTTGAATAATAGCCAAAAATCCATAATAAACAAAACATCAACCTTTTCAGTAAAGATAAGATGCCAGGTTAGTGTACCCCATCCTGAAATTCCGAGTTCCGCCGTCCCTCAGGTAAGGGCATTCGTGGCTGAGCAGATGGGTAACGATACTCTTGCCTTTACTGCCGCCTGCTGCTGGTAGCTGGTACTGCTCCCTGCCTGCAGGTCCGCGCCGGCAGGTCCCAGTCTGAGCACTTTGAAAACTCCCTGATCACTTACATCCTGCCAGGCGCTGAGTGGGGTAGAAGGAGCCCAACACTCGGAGTTACAAGACCAGATCCGTGTGGCGTGTTTGCTTCTTGCTTACGGGCTGACTTGAATAATCACTGCTCCCTCCAGAGCCGGTGCCTGCCCTGATAACTGGACCCCATTACTTCTTGCCACAATTGCTGAACTCACAAAAGGCTTTGTGTGACGGGGCGGAGCAGGCTGTCTGGCATGAAGTATGGACACATTTCACTATGCACAGCCTCCCCTCCTGCAGCCCCGACAATCAAATCAGACTCCTTTATTACTGAGGGCAGGACACACTGGAACACACCCAGTGAGGAAAGGAGCTCAGACATGCAGACGCTGGAGGGATGGCACCCCTGATGGGACCAGCAGGACTCCCCCTGGGCGGGGTCCCTACTCCTGAGCCTACAGAGTTGCATGGGGCAGGCCATGCCTGGAACGGTCAAAGCCCCCAGAAATCCCAAGGTGATGTATTATTTCAGGAAATTTGCCAAAACATCACAGTGCTATTGGAGTGAAAAAAGCCCTCGGCATCAGCCCTGATTAAAGGGCTGTTCGATTCTGGCTCTGCTACTTCTTGGTTATGTAGCTTAATGTTTCTGAGCTTCCAAAACAGGATTCCAAAACAGGAATAATAACTCACCTCTCCTGGGTGGGTAAGTAATCAGACAACAGCAAGGAAGGGCTACAGCAGGCTGGCTCACTAGCCCTAGCCGTTCCTGCCTGCACGAGCGTCCCTTGGAAGGGGGCCAGTCAGCGATGGCAATTGTAAAATCTGACTCCTGGACAAGCCCCCAAAGTGTGTAAAAGGTGGAAATACTGCGAGCCACTTCAGCAAAACTAATAAAAGGATAAAGCTATACCGGAAAATGTGCACGTCTGGAGAATCTGAAGGAAGGGTAGACAGGAATTCTTGCAACTTTCTCCTCAAGTAGGAAAGTATGTGAAAGAAAAAGTTATAGGCCCTCCCTGGTGGCGCAGCGGGTTAAAGCACTGCACTGAGAA